AAAATACATTAAAAATATATTTATTATGGATTTTTTATTTTACAAAATAGTTTTTTTTGGTCTGATTTGCTATATTTTTATAGGTTGTTTACGAATAGATATTTTAATTTTATATTAGAACATGTACTTTGATTTTGCAATTTTTATAAACATTTGTACATGTAAATTTTAAGGAAAAATCGTCATTTTTGATTCAACAACAGGTTTGAACAGAAGATGAGGGGATCTTTATCGACCAAAACTATTAACGTTAAGACGATATGATTGGTATTTATCTTGTATGATTATCGATACTGGTTTTCATCAATAAACTACATCATTTTTACTTGCAACACTACAAAACAAGGGACTATCACCGATTAAAAATTCCATCGGTTATCGGTCGCTTTTCATATCCTTTGGTGAAAGTTTGTCGGAAGAAAAGCCTTGGGAAAGGGAATCACCGATGGATTACCAGCGACGATCATTTCCAACGGATTTAGATCTCCGAAAGATTATCGACGGACTCAATTACCGACGCCTAACTACCGATGGCATTTACCGACGGGTTACCGAAGGATTTAAAAAAAATAAAAATTGAAAAAATAATAAAGGAATTACCGACAAAATAAATCTCATACATACTTATCATTTATCGCTCAAATTATATATTAAAGTAGTCTCACATCTTACAAAATAATGCGTCGTAACATGCCATAACGTGTTGTAACGCGCCATACCGTGTTATAGTGCAATCCAAGCCCTAGAGTGAAGCCATAGGGGCTAATGCGGCGCCGAACCCAAGCCTTGACGCTATAATGCGCCATAACGAGTTACTTAGAACCATGTGATTTAGCAGTAACTAGTGTCACGAGTTGATGCAAAAGAAATGATGGAAAACGGTGTTGAAACGGGTTAACTTGGCTGGATAGATCTTAGGGCCGTTTATCAAATATTTACCTGTTAAGTCCTTACCTGTAAAATTTAACACCATTATTTACTTACAGGGTAAGATTTTAGTCCATCAAAACGACATCGTATGCAACAATTTACCCGGTAAGTGCTTACCGTGATAAAACTTGTCGCCTTCACCTACCAGTGAAGGCTTACGAAAATAAATAATAAAAGATTCTTATTCAATATTGATATCATTCAAACTTATACATGAATTAGGGTTGGAACTGGGAAACGAGGTGAAGACGACACATCAAGTTTCCTGAGCTTCATCTTCTTAGGTGAGCCACATGCATGATAACAGCGGCACCACATGTAGACGCATTCTCCAATGGAAGGTATGCCATAGATATCATATCCATGCTCCTTCAGGCATATAAAATTGCATGAATATATTTCACAAAAAGGTTTAAAATGATCACTCTTACAATCTGGTTCTTTAGCAATCAGCAACTCCATACTTGCAAATCCCAGAATTCAAGTTTCTCATCAGCTACGTTATGTTTTTCTACAAAAGTGTTTATCAACTTATTATAAGTTCGAATGATTTAACTTCTTTAAAAACTTCTTATTACTGGTTTAGCACCGGTATAAACTGTTTATCCAAACACTCAAAAGTGCTTATTACTGGTGTCATACGAGAATTAGTTGATAAGTTGTTTTCATAAGCAATCCCAAACATCCTTTATATTTCTATTTTGTGATATGTATATCGAAAACATTTATTTTTTTTATCTTACATTTGACATCTCAAACATTCACACAAAAATATATATCACACAAAATAGGAATCGGACTGTGTTTTTATGTGTTTTCAAATATAAATTAGGTGCCTAAATGTTTGAGATACCAAATTTGAGATACCAAAATGAAGGTTATGAGTATGCATTACATAAAAATTCGAATCGGAACCAAGTACGTTGCATTTTCATACAATTTCCCAATAAACGGTAATTTATTGTCATAATTCTTATATTGGTTTAAGCCTTACTTTATGTAATGTACTAACATTCAGATGTAATACTTTAAATATATAGACCAAAATACATTGCATAAATAGGAGCCGGACCGAAATACATAGTATTTTAATCTATTCAATCTCATATGTAACCAATTACCTAACGGTTTCAGATGTATATGAGATACTAAAATGAAAATTTTGAAAGTAAGTATAGAAAATAAGAATAAGACCAAATACGTTGCATTGTCAACTGATCACAATTTTTTAGCAACTGATCACAATTTTTTAATTCCATGAAGAATATTAGTGAAAGAAAAATCAATGATTTTATGTAAACCTAAGAAAAATCAATGATTTTATGTAAACCTGATGAAAAATTAATATCTCCATTGAAATCAAGAAAATATAGATGACAATTACCGGTGATGAAGAAAAATACAAGAAATGTAGTGAAAACCAACAACTTCGCCATGTTATTTAGTTGTCGATATATTATGTATATCTGAACAAGAGTAAAATCATTTGATGTTGATTATAACTGTATTTATTGTTGATGATAAATATGTATGGTATTAATCAGTTGGTTTAATTGGTAAAAATTTTAATATGACATATATGTTAACATCTTGAATTGGTCAATATTTCATTAATTGTTTGCTAGATACAGAAAAAAATATTTGTGTCAAATAGACCTTTAACTTTTGTCTAACTTTTTAACAAATTTCATTTTAATTTCTAGATAGTCAAAGATGACTAAATTATGTTCTAATTTTTTTTTTTGTCATATTTCAATTCTAATAAATTTTATTATATGAAAGAAATGCAATTCCACACAATTGGTTAGCATGAAATGTTGCAATTCACATTTTTTTAATTACTTCTTTTTGGATTATATATATATATATATATATGTATATATATATATACATATATATATGGTTGGATTCACGTGAGACCAAAGGTTTTTCGTAAGACCAGTAAGACCAATTTATGTTCATTGATCAACTTTATAAGCTAATGATCTAATAGTCTAAAGTTGCATGATGACAATTTTGTGATTATTGAGAAGTCTCGTGGCGTTTATGAATGTTCATATTTCAGATCTAATCCAAGGGTTAAGAATTGATGTTACGAGTCTCACGAAAAACCCTTGGTCTCACATGAGCTCAAGTCTATATATATATATATATATATATATATATATATATATGCATTTAAATGTAAAATAACTATAATTTTTTTCTTTTAGTCATCATCCTAACCGGGTCAACATATGTTTATGAAAGTAAATCATCAAAGTAGCAAGCTAATTGGGGGTTACAATTATTAATTATATTATTAAAATATTTAATATATTTAATAAAATATTAATTCATTTTTTTAAACATTTAATTTTGAAGTTCCTTAGTGAAAGAAATATAATAAAAGAAAAAGAATATCTTATAGTAATTTTTTTTTTTTGAGAATTCTCCCAATTTTTTTTTACATCCTCTATCTTACTTTCGCCATATTAAAAAAAATAAATATAAGGGGGTTCTCCAAATTTGAAACTTCAAGAATTTCACACCCTTTACTATTTAATTAAATAAATAATTATAAGGGTATAAAATATATAAGTTATAAAAATAATTCTTATGCATTTATGAAGGTATTAACCAAACAATTATTATAATGATACAATTTGTAAATAGAAACAAAATTTTCGTTTATTTTAATTAATATATGATTGTGTATGATAATATAACAAGGTGTAAAATCCAGGCTTTTTCCGTCTCGACGATGAAGCTTATCCCTCTCTCTTAACCCATTTGAAAAGATTTCATCGACAAAATCCTGAAAAAAGTAGGTAAAAAGACCTTCAGAATTAATATTATCATATAAATTAGAATTTTCATAAATTAATTCAAATAAGCACGATCCAGCAGGGTGTTTTCGCCGTTGGTGTTCTTAATTTCCGATCTCTAAGCATTTCACTGCCCCATCGGAATGAACAACGCCCGTAACTATAACGGTCCTAAGGTAACGAAATTCCTTGTCAGGTAAGTTTCGACCTAACAGCTGACCGCTCTACCACTCAACTACTGAAGAACAACGGGAGATTCGATCACGGAAAAGTACGGAGTACAGTGACTTGTACAATTTGATGGTAAACCAAAAAAATAGCAAAAAGAACAAAAATTCGAAAATATGCATTAAGATTTTAAACATGACTTTCTAATCCATACACTCCTTAAATTCAATGATTACAATTCCAACACAAATAATATTAACAGAGACACTAGCATGAATCGACTTCATGAGGCTAAGATAACATATCACAAATTATGTGCAAAGGGGGTGACATTGCTTGGGTTCTTTTCTCGATTAGATTTGGCGCTGAAAACGTTGGCCTCTTTGACCATCTTCCAGGAATTATCTGCCAGCTGCGAGTATTTACCATCTTTACCTGTCATACTCATGACAAAAGATATATGTGAATTATTTTCAAGTAATTCGTACTACCACAATCGGAAAGAAAGCAGCAATCTCAACTAAACCTGACTCTCTCAATTACATGTGTTTGAGGGAGTTGAACATCTTATTTTTATGAGTGGCCTATGTGAATATGACCCCAGTTATATATTTTGTTTTATTAATTTTAGTGCTTAAATGGATTTATAAATTATAGAATATATATATATATATATATATAGAGAGAGAGAGAGAGAGTCGGATTCATACGAGAATGATACATATTTATGAAAATAAGAGAATAATCGAATCACATGTGATTTTACACTAACATCACGTACAAAATCACATTTGATTCATGCGATCTTGAGCGTGAACCGTGAAAGGTAAGAAAAGAAAGAGAAGGAAAGAAAATAAAATTTCATAATATTTGTAACAATCTGCATTCCCGCATAACAAATAACATAGAATTTATATAATAACCACATTGGGGGAACACCTTTGGTCCCAAACTTTTTATAACTATACAACGGCCTGAATTCTACTACAAATTTTTTTGCTAACAATATCTTTATACCAAATAGGCATAACCTTATAACAAGAAGATCAAAAGTAGAGTCTCGTTAAATTCATCGACAAGCTTCACATACGAAACTGCAAATAAACCGTCTCACACTTTTTTTTACCTTCTTAAAGTTGTTGCCCTGAAATACTTATTTTTTAAAACAAAATGAAGGATTATTCCATACGGTCTAGTGAGGAAATCTTTGTCAGTACATTAATTCCAATAAGATCAATTCATATAAAACTTCCCAAATCAGTAAACATATAGCCGGCACCCTGGCATAATCCGGTTAGTTGAAAAACATTTTAATATGTTAGTCATAAAGTAAGCCCATAAGCACTACATCCCTCCCAGGAAACTAGCCATAATAGTCGTCATTCAAAAATATGCACACCTCGATAAGACCGAAATTAATATCAGCAGTGGCCCATCGCACAAAATATATTTGTGGGAAATATATATATATATATATATGGGTGTGTGCGTGCGCGCTGGTGTTTTGAATAATACTATAGAATTTTTTTAATTCATATAAAGTTATAAAACTAAAAAGGAAAGAAAAACCATTTACATCAAATACATCGATCTTACAAGAAACTGATATCAAGAGTGTACAATTTGAGATTAAATATCTTGAATATCTACTCGCTATTTTCTTCAAATTTCAAAGAATTTATGTTCGAGCTTCCATATATGAGAATGAGAGTAAGGAAGTTTCCTTGTAATGTTTATTTAAATCTCAGGTGTTGGAAAATAACGTGTCATAACGTGGCATAACATGCCATAACGCATTATAAAAGAAGTCAAGCCTTAGAGAGGAGCCGTAAGAGTTAAAGTGGCGGTGAACCAAAGCCTTGGTGGCATAACACGCCATAACGAGTTATTTAGAACCATAG